GCCTGAACCCAGGAGGCAGAGGTTGCGGTGAGCCGAGATCACGCCATTGCACTCCAGCCTGGGTAACAAGAGCGAAACTCCGTCTCAAAATAAATGAAAGAAAGAGAGAGAGAGAGAGAGAGAGAGAGAGAGAGGGAAAGAAAATGAAAATAAATAAAAATGGCGTTTGTTATATAAGTTCATAAAGCAGTTGTGACTGTCAAAAAGTCAACATATGTGTATGTACGTGTACATCATATACATACACATCTGTATATGTACATTATACATACACATATATACACATGTAAGAGCACTCGGTTTGTTAGGAAATCCAGGCCTGATGCTACTTCCCTGTGCGGCAGGAACTGCAGATACTTGAATCTTGGCTAAGTCAGTTTGGGATCCCAAAGTACAGAGGGCAACAGTCAAGGGGCAGAATAGCCTGGGTGGGGGGTAGCCGCATTTTACACGCATTCTGTTACTCAGTCCTCACAGAAATCTTGTGAGTGAGGCAGGCAGTATTTTCCCACTTTACAAGTTTAGGAAACGGAAACAGAGTTTGACGAAGACCCAGAGTGGAGCAACAATTCAGACCTGACACAACCGACCCAGTTGCCTTCCCCTATGCCGCCCCTAACGCCACCGCCTCCCTGACTGCCCTGCCCAGCAGCACCCGATTCAGACTCGTTGTTAGAAAGCCACGCCAGGATCTTTACGTGTGCCCACAAAGGGAAAGAATCATTTCGCGTCAGCCTCCCCAAGATGGCAGCTGCTGAAGACAAGTTCCTGCCACCTCTGCGGCTCCCCGAGCTGTTCGATTCTGGCAAACAGCTTCTGGACGAAGTTGAAGGAGCAACTGAACCCACCGGTTCCCGGCTAGTCCAGGAGAAGGTGTCCAAGGGCCTCGACCTTCTTGAGAAGGCTGCCAAAATGTTATTGCAGCTTGACTTGTTCAGCCGAAATGAAGATTTGGAGGAGATTACTTCCACTGACCTGAAGTACCTGATGGTGCCAGCATTTCAAGGAGCCCTCACCATGAAACAAGTCAACCCCCGTAAGCGTCTAGATCATTTGCAGCAGGCTCGCAAACACTTTATAAACTACTTAACGCAGTGCCATTACTATCATGTGGCCGAGTTTGAGCTGCCCAAAACCAAGAACAACTCAGGTGAAAATCACACTGCTATTACCTCTAGCCTCGTTACTATGGCATCTCAAAGACAGGCTAAAATAGAGAGATACAAGAAGAAGGAGTTGGAGCATAGGTTGTCTGCCACGAAATCTGCTGTGGAAAGTGGTCAAGCAAATGATGAGTGTGTTCGTGAATATTATCTTCTTCACCTTCAGAGGTGGATTGATATCAGCTTAGAAGAGATTGAGAGCATTGACCAGGAAATAGAGATCCTGAGAGAGAGAGACTCTACAAGAGAGGCATCCACTTCTAACTCATCTCGCCAGGGGAGGCCTCTAGTGAAACCTTTCATTCTCACTCGGAACATGGCACAAGCCAAAGTATTTGGCACTGGTTATCCAAGCCTGGCTTCTATGACAGTGAGTGACTGGTATGATCAACTTGGAAACATGGAACGTTACCAGATCAGGGAATAGCCAAGGCAACACCAGAAGAATTTGGAAAAGCCACTCAGCAACAGGAAGATCAAGAAAAGGAAAAAGAGGTTGATGAACAAACACTCCAGAGAGCTCGGGAGTGGGATGACTGGAAGGACACCAACCCTAGGGGCTATGGCAACCGACAGAACATGGGTTAATCTTCCCACAACACCGCAGCACTGCAGGGTGCACAACTTCCCCTCTCCCTGGGCTCCCCCTACAGCTGTGTACAACTAAGGCAAAGATGCTTAATGTTCATGCTTGCTTTGAGTTCAATAAAGCATTAAATTATTAAGCCTGTATTTGTACCCTAGATGATGTGAGCCAGCAATCTAGTTTTGGCATCATCATCCTCATCCTGGAGTGTTCCAATTTCTTTATTTTATTTTATTTTATTTTATTTTAAAAAGAGACGCCGTCTCGCTATGTTGCCCAGGCTGGAGTGCAGTGGCTATTCACAGGCGCGATCCCACTACTAATCAGCACGGGAGTTTTGACCTGCTCCGTTTCCGACCTGGGCCGCATCACTCCTCCTTAGGCAACGTGGTGGTCCCCAGTTCCCAGGAGGTCACCATATTGATGCCGAACTTAATGCGGATATCCTATCGGCATAGCGCACTACAGCCCAGAACTCCTGGGCTCACGCGATCCTCCCGCCTCAGCCTCCCAAGTAGCTGGGAATACGGGCACGGGCCACCGCGCCCGGCCCAATTTCTTAAGTGGAAAGAAAAAGGCACCGAGGGCCGGGCGCGGGGCTCATGCCTGTAACTCCAGCACTTTGGGAGGCCAAGGTTGGCGGATCACCTGAGGTCAAGAGTTCGAGACCAGCTGGCCAAGGTGGTGAAACCCCATCTAATGGGGTTTTGTATTTTGTACCAAAAATACAAAATTACCGTGCGTGATGGCAGGCGCCTGTAATCCCAGCTACTCGGGAGGCTGAAGCAGGAGAACTGCTTAAACCGGGAGGCGCACGTTGCAGTGAGCCGGGATGACGCCATTCCATTCCAGCCTGGGCAACAAAAGTGAAACTCCGTCTCAAAAAAAAAAAAAAAAAAAAAAAAAAAAAAAAAAAAGCACTGAGAAATGGCTCTGTATAATTAATGGCTCTATGAATTTTCTGAAAGTAATAAAAAAGCCCGTGCAGAAAAAAGAAAAGAAAATTCTCATCACACAAGGCGATTTTTAAAAAATCTGAGCAGTAGCTAGAGCGATGGCTCCGGAAGAGAAACCAGTAAGGGCGGCCAGAAGTATATATGGCGTCACTATAAGAGGCGGGGATATGTAGATTAGGGACGCAGTGATTGCCGGTTCTAGTGAGTTCTTCTCACAGAAGAATTTTTCTAGCGAGTATCAGAGAAGGTGTAGTCTGAGATGTGTCATACAAAGAAGCGGTAGTTTCGAGCCGAACGCCTAACTCATAATACAATTTGCCATGACTAAGTTGTGTGTTGAGGATGTTGAGGTAGTAGCAGTCAGCAAACGTTCGCGTTTACGTGAAAGGGAAAACACCAGTATCACGAAGGTGGTTTTTTCACTGCGAGGTGTGTGTACTGCGTTTTGGATGTGTTGGTTTCTGTGATTTTTCCCAAATGTAGAAAACGAAAGAGCAGTATCTGAGATACCGAGATCACTGTGATACCATGTGTTTGTAGTTGTAATTGGCTTAATGACTTTTTTTTTTTTTTTTTTTTTTTTTTTTATGGTGGTTTTCTGTCACCCAGGCTGGAGTGCTTTGGTGTGATCTCGGCTCACTGCAACCTCCACCTCCCAGGTTCAATCAATTCTTTTGCCTCAGCCTCCCGAGTAGCTCTGATTATAGGCACTTACCACCAAACCCAGCTAATTTTAGTATTTTTATTAGACATGGGGTTTCACCACTGGGCAAGGATGGTCTTGAACTGGTGACTTCAGGTGATTCACCCACTTTAGCCTCCCAAAAGGCTGC